AAGGATTTATAGAGGAAGGAATAGTGTCTTGTATCCTTCACAAGATTTATGGTTTCCTGTCCAAGAAAGAAAAGATATATTTCAACCCTAATATTATTTGTTCCAAACTAAATCCTCACAACAAATATAAGTTAAGTCAATATTCAGAAATAAAGGTAATATTTTTTAAAAACAATTGTTGATACGCAATGTTTGATATTCTACTTTCACTGTTCTGATATTTATTATTCTATCGTTTCTTCAAGTTTTCGTCAAGACCGAATTCAATTAAGTCAATTTACTTGTATTCAAATAAGTATTTTATACTATTATTATTGTTGAAATAACTTCTTCCACTTTTTCTATTCTGATCGTTCCACAAGCTGTAATCTTTGCGTAACTCTTTGCTCTAAATTTATAAATTCGCATAACAGTGTCCAGAAAATGGACGTCTAAAGCGATTTTATATTTTCAGAACAACGTAAAAAGTTAATGATGGAATTAATAAATTAAAGGAACTAAAGGAGGAATAAATTAAAAGATTACTAACGTAAGGAATAAAAGTATTCAAAATATAATATTTACCAGTTTTCTTTCATTTTTCGTTGCGCCAAGCAACAAAGGTTGCTTTAAAAAAAGTTCATAAATATATTAAAGAAATGCTCCGATTCATGTCACGCGTTCACCCCCGCACCGTCCGCTTCTTTTCTTTCACTCTCCCCAACCGCCCTCTCGCACCCTGCCCCCTTCCTTTCGTATAATCGTCTTATATGCCTTCCTGTTGCCCGTCGGCTACGAGCAACACTGGATTACGCAATATTCGATANTTGTATTTTGTAATTTCTGTATTTATTTTTATTTACTTTTTTATTTGTCGCATGGAACAAATAAAACAATATTACAATATAAACAACATGTTATATGCTTCACTATAATCTGTACTTTTCATTTAATAAGACGTATATTTATTAAAATATCTAACTTCATTTAAATGTTAACGATATGCAAAGTCTTTTAAAACTTTTGTGGGTATGTGTACGTGTATGTCTTATGT